AAACCCCAAAACCCCAAAACCCCTTAAGATTAATTAGATATTTTATTTGTGAAAAATTAAAATAATAAACTACTTTTGATGGAAAAATCTAAGGATCTGCATAATTCTCAATAAAAAATGCATGAAATATTTCATCACAAAAAATAAATGCTAAGGCAAGAATTGTTTCCATACTTAGAATATTAAGATGCAATAAAACTACTTCAGATTTCAAAGATCGTTAGTTAGGTCATTAGTGAGCATTTCAGTTTGTGGATGAATCATGCTTCCTTGATTGCAAATAAGCTCCACATCGACTACGATGAACTCTTGCAATTCAATTCATTCCAAGATTTTAAAGAAGCGCAAAAACTGTAAAAGGTAAATGAGACTGAGCATACCTACAGAAGATTTTATTAAGGCAAAAATGAAATTTTAGCTTATGCTGGAGGCATGTGGGCTTGGAAACTTGACGAAAGGTACTATGATATAGAAGATAGAACTGATAGTACTTTTGGTTAGAAGGTTAGCCATTTGAAATCAGTATGTTGGTTTGATCCATGGGCACTAGCAGAGAGAGTAATTCCTGGGATATACGACTTATTTATCATCCATGGAGTAAAGAGTTCGCCATAAAGAAGACATGGTATGATGGATTAGGCTACTCTCTTTGTTGAATAAGTAGAAAATGAAACATTTAGAGAAATTTTCAAAATAGATAGCTTTATCCCAAAAGAAATGTATTTGAAAATGCCTTAGGACAGACTTATTAGAACTCTTCTTTGTAGATTAGATTTGACTAAAAATTAGAGTGAATGCTACATAAAATTGAGATTCTTCCATAATAATGGAAACTGGAAATCAGATTATTTATTTGAAGGATTTGCGCTTGTTTTAGTTAGACCTTAATAGGTTGATTCATAATCTCAATAGATTTAATGATTTTGCTTGTTAATATATTAATCAACTCAATTTTTAATTTCTATTAATCACATCGAATTGAATGATGGGGTTTTGGGGTTTTGGGGTTTTGGGGTTTTGGGG